GGCAAGCAGCGTGGAGGCAGTGTTGTTACCTTTGCGGCGAGAGGTTGCTGTTACTGGAATGCTCTCAAAGGTTGTCATAATGCACAAAACAAGTAAAAGGCCAGGTGTTTTTGGGTGTGCAGAGGTCGTTAAATTAGCACGAATTGAAGGCGGACGGGGAATAATGATAATAAAAACGCCGTATTTTTAGAAAACAAAAATGCAATAAAAGAGGTGAGGAGGAAAAAGGAAAGAGGAGCTTCTAGGTTTACAAATTTTCGCAATGCATAATGGCTGCAAGACCACCAAGCCGCGAGGAGGAAAGAAAGATCGGCCACATACGACAAAAGAAACCAAGGGAGATGTGGGGAGGATCCAATCAAGATCAGGCCATGTGCAGCCAATACATGGGTTGAAAAAACCGGTGGCCAAATCGCCGGGATGGGAGCAATGCCGAGGAGAGGGCTGGAGTAGCTGCGTGTGGGGCCCCACATCGCAGCCAGCCAACTCTCGGAAAGACCATCCGAAACCACCACAAAAGTCACTGCTCGCCCTCCACAACGCGGGGGGTTCGAACTCGGCCGACAGACGGCGCTCCAGCAGCCACAGGGCCTCGGAGCCCGCCACCAGCCGCTTCCCGCGCCGGGCATTCACCGACCCAACATGCGGCTGCGCGGGCCTCGCAATGCCCAGCCCCAGCTCGCCATATGCCCCCGTCGTCCGGATGCGCTTCTGGCCGCTGGTAAACGTCTTGGCACGCGGGCGCCCCGACCCGCTCGACTTGCGGCTGCTGGCATTGCTGTTGCAGGGGCTGCCCAGCTGCGGCGAGTGGTCGCGCTTCAGAGAGCTCTCCGCCGGGTCGGCCACCGGCGGGGCTCCGGCCAGAAGCTCGGCCAGCGCCGGGTCGTGGGCATGGCGCTTGATGCGGCGCCGCAGCGGCTCCGGCAGAAGCTCGTACAGCTCGCGCGTGCGGCGGATCACACTCGCAGCCCGCAGCGGCGGAAACGACCGCAGGAACAGCATCGGCGAGGTCGTCGTGGCCAGGAGCTCACGCATCGACAGCAGCTGGGCCACGATGCAGACCACGTTCAGATGCACACCGAACGCCAGCAGAAAGTCCCACAGCCGCACGACCTGGCGCAGCGGACCCACATTGGCGCTCAGCGTCATCGCTGCTGGGAACGCGTAGATTTTGGCCACTGCGCCGTGTCGCCGCAGATGCGAGTACAGCTGTGGGTCCACAAACGCCAGGCACTCGTCCACCAGCTGCACACACGCATGGACGCCCGGCAGCGACGGCCGCGCGTAAAGCGGACACTCGTTGCGAAGAAACTGGCGGAACGCATAGAACGCAGCGCTCTCGTCCATCACATACAGGAACGGTGCCAATAGTGTGTTCATGCCCTGCACATACCGCGGGGGATCGCTGGCTGACCGATCTACGAGGGTAAAAAAGATAAACAAACTCAGCTTTCAGTGTAGTATCGATGGTTGCAGGCTGCTTCAGAGAAGCCCGCATGGGGAGGCGCCTAGCAATTACGCAAACTCCGCCCACACTACATCCCCCCGGTCCAATAGACCGCCCTGCCCCCGCCTGCACTATTCACTTACCCGGGGCGCTCAGCAGCGCATTCAGCACCCGGACCACCGACTCAGTGGTGACGGTCTTGCGGAACTCGCTGTCGCCTGCCAGCGTGCGGAACGCGTCGTTGTTGATTTTACCCGCACACGCCGACGGGCACAGCCCCAGCGCTCGCTCGTAGCCCTCGACACCCGTCGCCCGCACCTCCAGCATCGCCAGCCACAGCCGCCCACGCGCCTGCTGGTCTACCGCCGGCAGCCCGCCGTTGCTCACCACCAGCACCCGCACCGCCCGCATCGACGCGCCCACCTCGCTCCAGCTCTCATGCACCCGCCGCTGCAATGCCGCCAGCTTGCGCGTCTCTGCCAGCAGCGGCGCCCGCTCCGCCGGCTCGCCCTCGCCCGCCCCCAGCGTTGCCAGAAACGGCGGGATCGTGATCGTCCGCCCCTCTAGCGCTTGCTCCACCGAGCTTATGTCAGACCCGATCGAGTCGCCACCTCGCCGCCGCTGCCGGTAGTCCGACGACTCGGCCGCCTCCCGGTACGTTGTGTCCACGCGCGCCGGCCTCCACCAGCTCCAGCCCCCGTAGATCCCCAGGCTCGCTGACTGGTACTCGCAGCCGCTCGCGCAGCCGCAGCCCGCTGTCGTGGCTCACCGGAGGCGAGGCCCTGTATGCCGACGGTACCCGCGGACTCCCCACTGCCTCCTCGCTGCCCACCGGCTCTTTGAACTCAATACCATTGAGCTGCCGGCTCAGCTCCAGCACCCGTGGTGTCAGTCCGCGCCGGTGCGTTGTGGGTGTTGTTTTGCGCATGTACATACAGACTGAATACGAATAAATAGATATCGGGTGTGCGTAAAAAAGGTCGTAGCGTTAAGAGAAATAATAAAACACCTTGGGAAAGGTGCAATGCGAAGAGGGGATTAAGAGAATGTGAAAGGGGTGCGAGAAAGTTTGTGTATTTTTATAATTTGAGCGGAATAAAGAGAGGACCTGACTTTTTTGCTGGTTCCTGGAATGTAGCACGCACAATAGACGCTAGCCTTTTATCCCTTTTCTGGCCCCTCTCCGCACGCCAGCCGCTGCACTAGTCTACAAGCGCCCCCTTGGCGTGCGGACAGACAGCTGCGAGAAACTCTGTCATTCTCTGCCCACCCACCGGCCCCGCGCTCTATATTGCCGTGTCAGCCTGCCTGGCTCTGGAGTGGGAAGGAGCCTTTGCGCATTTATGTGTCCATGGCGATCCCCAGCCCTTTTCAACCCCTCTGCGCGCAATTGCCATTCAATTCGCATGCAAGCCCAGCCATGCATGCCCAAACCTGGCTTCCCCTCCATCGCGCCGTCGCGCATTTCCTTTGTCTTTGTCTTTTTTTCGCCAGCAGGATCAGCCTCCCCACCATGTCAGCGCTGGCACCACGCCTCTACGGCTTGATCTCTCAGCCAGTCAGCGCGCTCTGTTTTAGGCTTTTTCCAGCGCTCAATGCAGCTCCTCCCCGGGTGATCCTCCACGCACCCCAATTTTTCAGTTCGGGACTGCGCCTTGTCCGCAGGCCACGTGAGCCTCGGCCCATGAGCCTACCTGCGCCAACCCGACTCGTTTTCGTGCATTCCAGGATCCGAGTTCCCGAATCCATTGTGATCCCTCCCCAGATCTCCCGCGCCTGCTGCTGCTGATATCTATCCCTTTCATCACGCTTTGCGAGGCTGGCCGGTTGTTGTTTCTGAGATGCATCACCCGCTACTGCTCATCATCATGGACAATCCAGCCTCTCCACGCACTATACTGGCTCCAGGATCCTCCCCGTCCGTCCATGCTGCAAATAAAAGAGGGTGCGCCTGTATATCCTCTCCCCACCGTTCCTACATTGCCTTACACAAAGCTGCAATCCAATTCCCCATTAGACTTATTTGCATTCGGCCACGCATCCCCTTGAATCCCACTTGCAATACAGGAAATGAAATGCCCCGCCACTCTGCTCTCCCTTGTCTACTTCTCCCCAGTCGCATTGTCATTGAGCCAGCGCCAGATCGCCACAGATCCTTCTGGCAATAGTGCTGTCATCCCAGGATCTCTCCAGGGCGATGGCGCCGGACAGCCACCATTTGACACCAGTGCCCAGCAGCCGATTTCTGATCCTGGCGATGCTGCCGGGCTGTTCCCATTTGACGGCAACGGCCAGTCCCTGCTTTCTGCTGGAGATTTCCAACAGCCCTCTGGTAGCAGACAGCCGCCATTTGGTAGCCCTGGTCAGCAGCAACCCAATGACACTAGCCAGCAGCCTGGAAGCAGGCCCAACACCAATCTGCAACAGCCCACCGGCACCACCCAACCCCAGAGCCAGCCCACAGCTGTCCAGGACTCTGCTTCGTCATCGCAGACCATTCCAGCGTCAATTCTAGAGCGTATGTCGAGCCTGTTCAACTTTGGCCAGGAAGTATCCCCCAACCCTGCTCCATCTGGCGTGCATCCTGGCCAGTCTGTGTCATCGCCTTCCCGGAGCGCTGAGCTGCGCACCGATAGTCTCTCCACGCAGCAGGAGGAATCAGCAGAGACGCCCGGGGACCTCCACGCCAATACGGGCAATGTGGGCAGGTCGGTGGCTGCGTGCGCTGTGGCTGTTGCCGCTGCATGCATTCTTTCTGGATCCATCTAAGAGCCTCATTCGTGTATAATTTGTCCAATCTTGCCACTCATCTCAGAAGTATGAATCAAATAAATACATTACAGCATTATTAGACATGGTACCCAAAACCCCCAATGCCCTGGCAATGCAACCTTAAACCAGTGCATGCCCTAAATCGCATATACACATTTGATTTCACTCCTGTTCCAGGTTGAACGATTACCACATGTGTCATGTCATAATTACGATTATGCCCAGCTTTTGTATTCGTTGGAGTACACTTTTGATTTGCCACCACTCCTTCTTACCTCGAAGTTTCGATTGGTTTTTGGAGAAATAAAACATGCAAAAAAGAGTTTCTACGTGGAACCTCCAGAGGAATGAAAATTACTACAAAATTCGGCCAAACCCAGCGCTTCTCCTGCTCTTCTACATAAACTGCCCCACCCCACTGATCTCCTGTTCGTTGGTGTCCTTCTGCAGCGGATCTGTTGTCGCCACACCTTCACGGACCGGTCGTTCATGTACCTATGCAGTTCCACGAGCCGCCACGACAGGATTATCAGCGGTAGCTGAGCCAGATCCTCAGCCCGCACAATTTCCACAGTTCCAATACGCCGCAGGCTCGGCCCCACCCGCCGGAAGTACGCAACGATCTCGCCCTGCTGGTCTGTCAACTTCCATGTCCGCGACAGTAGCCTCACGCTCCACTTCAGGAGCCGCCCCCGCAGATCAATAAACTCGTAGTGCTTTGAGGTTGCCTGGAACCACCCGTCGAACCCTGGCCCATGGATATCTGCCACATGCGATAGCAGCACCGGGTGTGCCTCGTATTCTGCATGGTCACCGGAACGTGTGCTCCCCTGGTACAAATATACTGGCAGTGTTTGGCATACGACTGTGTAGCACGGTGTGGTGGTACTCTCTGCATGTGAGCTGCTTTTGTGTACTCCCGGGTAGACGCCAACGCACTGAATGTCCCCGTTCTCTATCAGCGTATACTCATGTATGGCTGACATGGGTGAAAGTGATGAGGGTGTATTAAGGATGAGGTGAAGAATGAGGAACAGAAATGGGGGATACTGGTGCACAAGGCAGGGGAAAGGAGCAAAAGAAGGGTAACGCCCCCAGCCTGTGATTTCCCCACCTCCCGAAGATCCCAGAGATGTTCCATGGACCGCATTATGACCGGTCCACAAAGCCGTTTCTTTGTGGCACATTTTCAACTGCAGGTCACCGTGATCGCCTGTCAAAGCGTAATAAATCGAATCCGGGAGAGGCCGCTGCATATCTCCAGATCTCACAGCGGAGTAACATGGACAGTGCGTCTTGGCGCCCAGCCAGCAGGCAGGCCTTGCGGTCCACTGTTCCATCCTTCCGACTGTGCATTGTTTTTGAATGTGAATGGTATTGAAGTATGTAGCAGACTAATAAGTACTCAAGCATCCTGTTCTCCGTTGCACTCGATTCAGAATCACTCCACAGGCCAGCCTAATAGAAATCCGGTAGAACATTTTGGTGCTCACGATGCGGTGTATTCGACAATATGTTCCAGTACTGTGGTAGATGCCCTGGCCTTGGAGCCATTACCAGGCCTGCTGCCAAAGGTAGTTATCGCACTTAGAGCCCAGGAAAGCAGTGCAAGCAGGCGTAGCTCTTCGCTAACATTCTCGTCTATGGTTAAATTTGCGTAGCCGCAGTACCAAAACTGGTTGCCATCGAAACCAGCAACTGCATTCCCTCGACGGTCATGCAGCTGCCAGCCTGTCTCCTTGTTTTGAACTATCCACTTATATGCGGCGCCTGACAGGTCAGAAAACTTCCATCCTGTGCTTTTCACTCTCTGCTTGATGCTAGTCTGTTGACCGCTAATCGAAACCCGTACCTCTTTATCGTTGGCACCATTGACGTCGGCGATAGCCAAGGGCTCTCCGCCATCTTCAGTACGGACAGCCATGCCAGGCACAAAGGTTACATCATCAGAAATATCGAATTGCTGCGAGCTGATAACAAGCCGAGGTGGCTTAAGGATATGTTGTAGGTTAGCTCGCCCAGCCCCGTGCGGATTCGATGCTGTTAAAGCGGCCAGAGTAAACAGAGCAGCTTCTGCGATTGTCGCCCAGGAAGAGCGTGTATTCCTCGATTGCCATAGTCAAAAAGTGCGTAGACGGAGATGCAGTTGATAAAAAGGTGATGCTAGTCTAACTTGTGGAAAGCCCTGTCACCCGTGCACATTTTATATGTGACCCCACACAATGCGGAGTCCGTATCGGCCAATTTTTTGACAGCATCTTGGCGTGCATGCGTGTTGCATTCTGGAACCAGCCGCCACTGATTTCTCGTAACAAGCCATGTTCCCAACATCCGGGCGAGACAATACCAACCGGCAAACAGTGTACTTTGATTAGTAATGTAGCATAGAAATATGTGTGGCCAAGCCCTTGGTGAATATGGCTGCGTACCTTTGACAGGATGGCGTCTGTTCGCAACAGCAGTGTATAATCCAAGCTGACAGCAAATTTAAACATGCCATGCATTAGTATGGAGGTCATACTCTTCATGTAGCTGTCGTGCTTGACAAGGCTGATAAACCATCTGTTAAACGATGTATATTAAAACCCACCAACCATGGCGTTGGTAAATGTGTCGTCACCTCCACCTACACTGTTTGTAGGAACAGTCTTACTTGTAAAAATCGCTTTAGCACTCAATGCCCACGATAGTAGGACCAGCATGCGTAGGTCCTCATCCATACCCTCGTCCACTATGAAGCTGGCATAGTTGTCACTCCAAAACTGCCTGCTGTCAAAGGTAGCAACAGCCTTTCCTCGATGCCCTTGCAGCTCCCAACGCTTCTCCTTGCGCAAGACCTCCCATCTGTATTTAGTCCCATTAGGGTCGGTGAACTTCCAGCCGACGCCTGCAATCCGCTGCGCTACTTTAACGCTCTTTCCTTTAACAGAAACCTGAGCAGACCTACCATTGCCCTGACTAACGTCAGCAACAGCCGTATTGCCATCAGAATGAACCAGCATGCCAGGCACAACAGTTGCATCATCGGATATATCCAGATTATGAGAGCTGATAATAAGACGAGGAAGCCGAAGAAAAATGGTGTATGCCAGCTCGCCCGATGCCTGTGCCGAAGCAAGGTCAGTAAATCCTCCATGGTAGATGGAGCAATTGGTGCGATTGTTGCTCAGAAATAGGGTGTACTCGACCATAGCCGGGAATTGTCGATATTGGAATTGCAGGTAGCTGATGTGTAGATACCACCCAATGAATTGGGCGTTGATATAATTAAATACAGGTCCGTTCGCTATTGGGACCACACGTGACAACATGTATTGACAGGTTCTTGGCAAGCAAAAAAGTGTTCTTGGCATGCACACATGTTTCTCGAATCTCTGGCCTTGCATACGGTTGGGGCTGCAAATCTAAAGCGGTTGACAACCTGCTCGGAAGCAGCTGTCGCCAAAGGATCGCTATTGCACGTAGTTGTACAGTCGACAAGGCGGCAACGCCATGTTCCCGCACATGTTGCTGCGTGCCCCTTGATACATATGGGCTATTGAGGCTGGTGCTGTGTCCAAGAATATTTGGTTAAATAATAGTTCAGTGAAGACTACATATGTTGGCATGTGGAATTAGTCAAGATTAAAACCAGACTTTATTGATATACCGGGATTAACAAATGTGGATATTTTTCCTGCCTGCTAACAGCAATGATGCTAAATACCAGGGAGATCGAGGCAAGGATAAATAATTGCCTGTCCATGTTTGGCAGAACCTCTAGGGTTCCTTGTCTGTGCTTTCCAAAATGTAAAGCTGCAACGCCAGACCCGCTGCCATCAGTCAGCTCCCATCTGGCACCTTGTATTGGAGTGTTCCATTTGTACTTGATACCTTCTGGATCTTTGAACTTCCATCCGAGCTGTGTAGCACGCTGTTCAATATTGAACACATTGCCATTGATGATGACTCTCGCACTTTTCTCTGTACGCATATCAACGATTGCAATCCCTTCAGTATATTCCTTGGTCATGAGGTTCGGTATGATACCAGCAATGACTGTTGTATCATCGTCCACGATATTTTCCACCGCGCTGAATATAATATTAGGATACTTCACGTAGACCCTATATAGTGGTTCGTGCAAAGTTTCTCCTGCATCGATGGTGTCATAACAGCCGCCGTAGAACGCAACGCATCCTTCTTTCTCAGGTGTGGTTGAATAGAACAAAGTGTAGTTACTTGGCAACATGGTGATGGTAGAGAGCAAATAGTGAGTAGAAAAGATTACAGTCAAATGAGTTAAGTTTTATTCGCTGGCAGAGAACGGAGCTATCCGTAAGCAACCTGCTGCTGCCGCCGCCTTCAACATGGGGCTGGCTTGTGCCAGGATTGCCGTAATGGCATGATACACCATGTACGGTGAGAGCGAAAAAGTTATTCTCTGTAGAAACCCTGATTGTTCCTAACCAATGCACCAAGGAGTGAAGTCAAGATGCACCATGTGCCAGAATCATCGAAATGTATTGGCGAGGTTACGAGATTTCCAATGAATGTTCTTGACATCGGCATTTCCTTTTTTGGCAAACATGCTATGGAACTTGCAGTAGGGTTGCACACCGGCAAACCCCAGTTGTAGGTCTTCACGGCATCCACAGGGTTAGAGGTCAAGGCTATGTCCATTTACGCCCTATGTTGGTATGCAACCCTAAAGTACACTTTTGCCATAAGAAACAGCTCACAGTAAAAGGCAGCAGTAGAGATACATGAATATAAGGTGCGAAATGTGGCTCTAAAGGAACACTTGAAACACTTTTTTGCCATTCTTGTAGCCATCTTCAGGATTCTTTCCGGCATAAGGCTGATTTTCGATTAAGCAGCAAGTCTTTTTTGTATTTCTTGGTCTATGTCCAGAGGCAGCCAGAGCATATGAATTTGGGTCGAACATGATACTGAACTTTTCCAAGATATCCTTCACAATGTCTGCACTACTTAGATACGAGCCAATCCTTGATTGCAACCTTGCAACCTCGGCTTCACATTGGACCGGGTCAACGAATTCAAATCGGCGGGCATAGTCAACACTCGGGTGCGTCAAAACCTCTTCGCCTTGCTGTTCGTTCACTATGGCCGTCACAAGCACGCCTCTCACGGTTTCGAAGTATCGATGCTTCTTGTAGAGTGGGTAGTAGAGTGAGAAGTCATAGCCGCATTTTGTGCGTGCTTTGTATGTCACAACAATTGTCCCCGAATCGTATGTGGGTATAGTGGAATGAAGTGATGAGATAAATGAAGTTTGTGTAGAGCGTGGTGCTCTGTCCGAATGGATTCTTGTCTCTCAATTTATAGGAAAAGCCTAGCATAGCGAAGAACTCTGGTATTCCTGGGTTTGATGGGATTCCTTCAGAATGCCAAGAAACCTGGTGCAAAGTATGGGGTAGCAAATAAGCCAACCATGCAAAAGCTGAACATGTTCTTTGCACGGATACTCTGACTTCGTTTCATAGTAGCGTGATGATTTCTGTCTTGGCCTATTTTTAGCCTACCGGTAGCATCCGCTTGTAACTTGTGCATGGCATGCATACAATCCCAAGCTGCGCGTTTAGGTCAACGGCCAGCGTGGAAGTTGCTCTGCCAAGTCTCAACTTTGCTAAAAAAAATGCTATTGTGCATACCTTGGTCTTAGAATTTAAGAGTCAAAAAGTCAAGGGCTGTCTGTAATCCATGCAGCTGGCATCTAGAGCTCTATGCAGGCTGTCTTGGTATTTACAAATTCTTGACAGTGGTTAGTGGTTTGACTCTGCATTCGCAAATACTAATAAAACTGCCTGTGACTTCAGTAAGGAAACTGGTATATCCATGCATCAATGGCTCAAATGTCACTGTTTTGCTAAGGCAAATCTAACAGAAACACCTTAAACTCTAGGATCCTTCTAAACATCAGGACCTCTCATTACGCACAAGCTCAGTACGACTGCAGCACCCATACATCTTTAAATGCTTCATTTCTTGCAGAGTGTTCTCAGTTTGCTTTGAGCCGATATCAGGGAAATAGTCGGCATAGGCACTGGCTCCATTGCCTTCTTTTGGAATCGCAGCAATTCACAGGTGTAATTTTACGGCCGACTTTCCTGAGCTTCATAAGCGAAAATGTGTCTAGGAAGAGGATAGACCACCGGTACATATTGGTCACCTTCTTTGGGTCGGTATGTATAAGTGTAGAGCCCTTTAAATGATGACATTCATTGTGGTTGAACTGGGCGACACGTATATAAAAATGTAGGGTTTGAGTAAAGGTGTGGAAGAAAGGCTGTCGAGATCTGGTGTCAGCACTTTATATGATCGTTTGGAATGTGGACAGAGCTGCGATCATTAAAACTACAGCTCTTGAATGCTTTAAATCTACCCGGAGTCGCATACACCGTTTATTGTCAGTGCAGGATTATCCAAGGGGCCAGCGTGCAGTAAACACTGCATTCCTGTCACATCTGGCAGGTGATTGGCAATACATGCGTCCAGACTTCATGTAGAAACAATAAATAAACACCATTTGACATGTCTTTATTTGCAACAATCTCAAACTCCGAACTCATAAATGTGTATAGTGTTGCTACTCTCTATATCGTATACATACTACATACAAGAGCTTAGTCGGACTCATGAAAAAGTAGTCAGGCGTTCATCACTTGATCATCTTGGTCAACGACTCCATATCTCCACTCTTCTCACACAGCGTTCTGAACGCTCCGCTTTCCGCCTGAATTAGCTCTGCTGGAGTGCCAAACTCCTCTACCCTGCCGTTCTCCAGCACAAGAACCCGGTCGTAGTCGATGATAGTGCGCAAGCGATGTGCAATGCACAGAATGGTCGAGTTCTTTGAACTCGGCTCCGCGGATAGTGCGCTGCATGGCTTCGTCGGTCTCGAAAATCAACCGATGCCGTAGCCTCGTCCATCAAAATGACCTTGGACCGACGTGTCAGTGTGCGTGCCAAAGCCACCAGCTGGCGCTGGCCCAGTGACAGATTCTGTCCATTGCTGACGATTTCGTCGTCAAGAGAGTCAAATACAGCGACGCTTCGGTCCCTTGCCGATCCATGGGTCGATTTGAGCAGAAGCGTACGCTTGAGTGCGTCGAGCAGGATCTCGTCTGGGTACTCGCCAAAGGGATCCAGGTTGAATCTGATCGTGCCGTTGAATAAAACAGGGTCCTGGGGTACAATCGTGATGCTCTGGCGCAAGTCCTCAAGCCCGATTTTGGATATGTCCACGCCGTCAATCAAGACCTGCCCGCTGGTAGCTTCAACAAGCCGCAGCAGCGACAACGACAACGTCGACTTGCCAGCACCTGTGCGTCCGACAATGCCAATTTTCTCGCCAGCATGAATGCTGAAACTCAGCCCGTGCAGCACAGGCTCGTTCGCAAAATACCCAACAACCAAATCTCTGACCTCAATCTCGCCTCTAAGCGGCCAACCTGGGCAAGGTTTGTTCCCCACAGATGACTTGGCCGGCGCCTCCTGGTCGATTTCCAGGTATTGAAACACGCGTTCAACCGAGTTAAAGCCCATCTCAAGATTGCAGTACCGGCGAACAACACCCATGGACTCGAGCCAAAAGTTTACCGCAATGATCATAATGAACCCTGCCAAACCGCTGGTGAAATACTCCACCTTCCACAGAATAAAAACCGTTGTGGTGGCTCCAACCAGCGAGCTCGTAAGCCCCATGCGGCTGCCTAGCCAGCGTCTGGTTGACCGGAATGTGAGGTCTGAAGCCACATACTCGGTAAATCGCTCCGTGAATTCGCCCATGTATGCCTCCTGCATACCAAACCCACGAATGGTATCGATGCCTTGAATCAATTCGCTGTACAGCGACAAGACCGGTGCAAACACGGTAGACTCTAGACGCTTGAGCTCACGCTGCGACAGCATAAAGTCCAGCGTAAAGCTTGTGTAGGCACCCAGCACAGCTATTCCTACCACTGCAAACAGAGGCACAGCCGCCGAGATTATCACTAGGGTGCTAGATGCAATGACGAGTGAAGTAGCAAAGTCGAACATTGACAGGGCGATGCTCTCGTCGATGACCTGGAAATCCTTGGCAAAGCGGGCTAGCGTGCGTCCGATAGGCGTCGTCGTCATGAAGTGTGGTGTAGCATACACTACTGCATTGGTAAGTCGCTCGTGGAGTATAGTCGAGGCGCGCAGACCACCATGGTACGTGAGTAGCATAGCCGCCATCCGAAGCACCGATGACGAAAGGCTCACCAGCAGGTAGATAAAAAGCCATGCATACTGGAACGACTCGCTATCATGCGACTTATCTGAGCCCACCCTGAGCGCCAGATAGTAGTCCTTATACGCGCTCAACAGCTGCACAGCAACAATCAAAACCGCGCAAAAGACGACATGCATCCACCCACCGCTTGCAACGAAATATCCGGCCCAGACGCTGGCCTTAATCGTGCCACTCATACGCACTTCTTCTTTGATGAGCTGACCAGTTGGCGGGGCCTCCTGCATGCCAGTTTGGCTGCCAGCAGCTGCTGGCGTATCTGCAGCTACTTTGCGCTCATCATTGTACTCATCCTCGGGCATCGGGTCCTCCAACGCCTGCCTCTGCACGGCTGGCGCCTGCTCTCCCTGGCTTTCGCCGTCACTAGCAGCTGCGACATTGTCAAACGCACATCCAGAGACCTCCTGTGGCGTTCCCTTTGCGACTATCTCGCCACTGCGCATCATCACGACGTACTGGCAGTGCGGCAGGCACATAGCCATATGATGCGTTACCAGAATGCGCGTTCTACCACGCATCAGCGGGCTTTGGCTCAGCAAGCAAGTGTGCAAAATATGCTTGGCTGTATGCGAGTCCACAGCCGACAGGCAGTCGTCTATCAGCAGAATCCTCCGCGAAGAGTATATGGCCCGAGCCAGTGCTACACGCTGCTTCTGACCACCTGATAGTGTGATCCCACGCTCGCCAACTTCCGATTGATCCCCAGCAACGAAGGTGCGCAGATCAGGCTTCAGTCCACACATGCGTAGAACCTCCTCATAGCGGTCTCGAATGTACAGCTCGCCAAATAACACGTTGTCACGGATGGTTGCATTTCGCAGCCAGGGCTCCTGCGACACATACGCAATGTCAGACATCACGCCGTTTGCTGACATAGGAATGTGTATATTACCACTGACAACAGTCATATCGCCGACAAGTGCTGACAACAGTGACGACTTTCCGCTACCAGTTGGCCCTCCGATAATCGTTAAACCGCCCTGAGGGAAGCGCACAGTGAGATTGCGCAGCGCAAATGCCTGGCTATCCTCAGGCTGTCTGCCATGCAGCAGAAGTGGAGTCCCTTCCTCAGCAGCCGCACTGTCATCGGCTCGCTTCCAAACAAGCTGGGCTTGGCTAAATCCAACGTCATGTCCAGCTGCTTCGACTCTCTCGCCAGCAGGCTGCACATCATCCTCATGCAAGTACTCGTCGATGCGCTTGAGCGAAACGTAGATAGAGATCGCGTGTGAGACGCCACCCGGCATCCAGAAAATCGCCCGCTGCAAAACCCGAAACACAGCAATGGCTGTAAACGTCGTCTCGCCATCCAGCCGACCGTTGAAGCTGTATACGAATAGCACAACGAAAATTATCACCGGCATCATCCCGACTGTCCACAGGTTTAGCAGCGACCAGACCTTCGATCTCTGCCACAGCGCCTCCAGCTGCACCGCACGTTTAATGCCGACAACTTGGATAAACTTTGAGCACCACCCAAACAGCTTGACAGAGATGATGCCGTGGATGACCTCGCTGATTGTCTCTAGGCGTTGGTCGTTAAAACGCCCGATCTGTGCCTCGATTCGTTTAGCTCGAACGATCAGCCTCTGCCCAACGGCCATGACGCCAACTATCATCGCGGTTCCGAAGAGCCCAGCTATACCAAGCAGCTGGTACATGTAGAAGCATCCGATAATAAGCTGGCAGGGGCTAAACAGGACCGATCCAAACATCTCCGGCAGTTTGTTAACACGGTTGACAGTCAGCAGTCAGAATGTTGTAGACCCGTCCATCTGAAGAGTCCCTCCTGCTGTCATCCTTGGATTTGGACTCGTGTGCTCGCCGGCGCAATGTTTTCTGGGTCAGACTCGCCACCAGGAACATTGCGAATTTCCATGCTTATTCCGCGCGACTGCCACTGCTGTTGCTGCTCAACCACAGTTCCCACTACACTAGCTGCCAGCATCATAGCCGCCAAAAAGTACCCGAACCGCAGTCCAAGCGACGAATCCTCCAAGTACTCGTCAATGAAACGCAGAACGCGCTGCATCAGATACGGCTGGATGTAGTCCGAGAAGGTGTTGTAAAAAGTGTAGACGATCTGGATTGCAAGATCGACCTTGAACACCGAGAACAGCTGCCTTACCAATGGCTGTCCAGGCTTGGCACCCATTGAGAAGCGGGCGTACGCTGAGCTGACCTGGCAGTTATCTGGCGGCACACGCAGATCGCTGCGTGATACCTGGTGCTCTCGACGGCAATCAGAAAGGATAGGACTGACCCAGTTGAACAGCAGAACCGAGAGCAGAGGCTGGCTCAGCTCATACGGCTCAAGCTTGGCACCTGGGACCGCAGTGAGCCTCTTTGGCTGCAGTCGGCAACCAACCTGCAATTGAGAAACGCGGTCAGCAACATAATCACACTGCGGTAGCGGGTGTACAACCAGCAGCAGCAGTAGCAGTACACAGTTTACCAGCATCTTTACATGTACTGCTGCGGCCACTGAGCTCATATCCTCGCCCCACATTGGTGTGTGCCACTGGCTGCGGACAAAGAAGGAGAAATACTCCTCCAGCGCCGAGCACGCAAGCTGAACGAGGACAAATCCAAACAGCATACCGCTGAACAGCCCACGGAATGCAAACCGGTCGCTCTTAGTGTACCTGGCAGCCTGCATGATGGCTAGTAGGCTGACGATCAGCCATTCGGTTGCCAGCACGAGCGACGCAGGCTCTGTAGCCCGGGCCGTCTGGACAGCAGTCTGGACGATCATCAGCAATACAACTGCCGGTCCGACCCAGACCCTATTGTCAGGAACGCGTACACCCGCCTTGAGCAGTGGCCTGGCTGACGAAGTAAGGGTGCCAGGCCTTCCAAAGTCACCGATCCACCAGCAGATCGCCAGAAACATCGTTGGGATCGCGCCCTCAAAGATCAGTCTGCGTGCGCATGCGTTGCGCTCCAAGTCCCACTGCCATGGCCAGAGCGAGCCGATACTGCAAGCTCCGAGTCTTTCCATGCGTAGGCCTTCTGCTTGGTAGCAGGTAATAGCAAGGGAGTGAAGAAAAGTGAAGAAAAGTGAAGAAAAGTAAAGAAGAAAAGGAGCTAGCGAACAGCTCGTGCTGCGGCCCGTGGTTAGTAGCGCGGTGGTGAAAAACTCATACACAGATCGTCCCCACAGGTCCCACGGCTGGGCCGATTGTTTGCTGCCAAGCTCTGCATAGCCTCAGGCGGTGATCGGGTCTAGGTTGCCTAATTGGCCAGCAGGACGGCATTTGGCATCAATAAATACTGCCCGCTTGCCCTCGTCTCGTCAGAACATAGAGCTTTTCAACCCTCAGCATGCTTTTCTATGCACCCTTCCTCGCCTTCTTTGTCGTTTTCCATTGCGGGCTAGCGGCAAGAATCCAGGGAAATCTGGATATCTACGCCTCTAAGCGGCTGATACAGACAGGGCCGAGCGACAAGAAGTGGCTAACCAAGAACGATATATTCAATCTGAGCCGATCTGGTACAAAATTCCGCGACATTACTGACATTGACAGCAGCCTTATCAGTCTCCGACAGAAGCAGCTGCACATTCCCGACCAGCCGTCATTACAGCAAGCCATCAAGCCGCTATTTACCAACATTTCTGATGCACTCCCTCGTCGTGTCCTTGAAGGAATGGCAAAGTTCCACAACCGGTTTTTCAACTCGCGCAATGGCCGTGAGTCGTCGCTCTGGCTGCAGCAACAAATCACCAGTGTGGTTGCTGGTATCGGCGGTGTGGAGGTTGTGCCTTTCGTTCATTCGTTTCCGCAGAATAGCATTATCACCAAAATCCCGGGACGCAGTGACGAGACTGTCATTTTGTCTGCTCACCTTGACAGCATCAACAAGTTCGACCCAGAGCATGGCAGCGCACCAGGTATCGACGATGACGGCACAGGTGTTGTTGTGCTCATGGAAGTTATGCGGATTCTGGCTAGCAGTCAGCTGAAACTGAATCGGACTATCGAGTTCCATTTCTACGCAGGGGAAGAGGTCGGGTTGCTGGGCTCGGCTGATATTGCGCACATGTATGCAAAAGCGATGCGGCCAGTAGTAGTTGATCTCCAGCTTGACATGACCGGATTCCCAACTAGCCCGCCTGTGGTTGGCATCTTGACGGATAACACAGATCCTGGTTCGACGTCGCTGCTGCGCCAGATTGTGTCCGAGTACACCGACCTGAAGACCCAGGATTTTTCATGCGGATATGCGTGCTCCGACCATGCAAGCTGGTTTGAGGCCGGCTATCGTGCTGTGCTGCCTGGCGAAAGCCCGCTTGTCACTGGGAATCCCCACATGCACACGTCATCAGACGATATCAGCACTGTTAGCTTCCAGCACTTGCTACACTATGTAAACATTGCCCTGGCATTTGCAGTAGAGGTTGCTGGAGTTACTGGTAGTTGAAAAGTACAATAAACTTACAATTTAACACTCAGCATTCTGTTTTTCTGGGGCGCGAGCAAGGTGAGCTGACAATAGCGCTACAATAACCAAGACGCTAAACAAGAACATGCGACACCATATTACTGACAGATAAAGTGCAAACGCATACCGAGTAGCACAATTGCCTTCAAATGGCCTACCGCTGGATACTCTAAGCAGCAATCAATAACCCCTTAGCAGCTCGTATGCCACATTGGTGTAGTTGGGTTCCTGACTGGCGACAGTGACAATACAAGAGATCAGCGAAGTTAAAACAAGGGTGCGGAGCTGCTTGTCCATGGTAGGCCTAATCTCCAGCTTTTCAGGATGGAACTTCCTGATATTGAGTGTCGCAACAACAGACCCATTGCCATCTCGCAGCTCCCACCGATTGCCTTTGATTGGCGTGTTCCATTTGTAGTCAGTACCGCTCGCGTCCTTGAACTTCCAGCCGAGCTGTGTAGCCCTTTGCTCCAGTTTAAACGTCATATTTTGTACCGTGACCTTGGCGCTTCGCTTTGTACGCATATCTACGACTGCTGTTGCCTCTGAGCGATCGCTGCTCTTGGCCATGGACATGGTGCCAGCAACTAGCGTGGCATTGTCGTCAAAATCAATTTCAACTGAGCTGAGGATCAAGTTCAGGTACTTTACATATGTTCTGTAGACAGGCTCGCCAGAACCCTGGGCCGCATCGATGCTGTCAAAACAGCCGCTGTAGAAAACGACACACATCACAGCGATGGGAACAGTCTTGGAGAAAATTGTAAATGGATCTGTGGACATGATAGCTAACTGGAGAATGACGGTGAGGGTGATGCGCACGCCGGCTTTCGGCGTTTAAATAGGCTGCACAAGACACGTGGAATGTTCTTTAGCAAAAAGAGGGTGTCCCTCGCCGTCTTGGCACACTGGTATGTCAAGGCCGGATTGCAGAAAGCGCGTCTTGCAAACTGAAGGTGTGTGCTAAGGAATATTCTCTATTGAAGGCTGTCTGCTTTCTTTTGGAAGGGACGGAAATCAATAAAGAACCAACCCCCAGAATCGCCTGATATTACGCTGCCAGGTATAGTGCGGGTGTATCCTTATCAGCACATGTTAACAAAATCGTAAGAGGATATCATACTGCATGAACAAAAAGCGCATTTCTTTGAGCCAGTAACTCGCCTCACTACCAACCATGAGCAAACCTGGGCTAACTCCATGATGCATAGATGGCTACATTGCCGTGGCTGTTGGCATGGGTCCTTGTGACAGTGAGTGCAGTTATGCCAAGTGCCAAAAGAGAAAGCACTCGAAGCTCATTGCTAATTCCAGTCTTGAACTCCAGGATGCCAGGACCGTCCTTCCAGAACTTTGTGCAGTCAAAGGTGGCAATGGCTGCCTTTTTACTGTCAAGCAGCTCCCACCGGGTCTTCAGGGCTTTAGTGTTCCATTTGTACTTGGCCCCTTGCGCATCCGTAAACTTCCATCCCAGCTGCATATCTCGCTGCTCCATTTTGTAGGGAACACCCCGAGTTATGGCGTTGGCACTTCTCGTTGAGACCTTGTCGATTAGCGCCTTGGCTACAGTGACACCGCTTGTCGGTATCACTCCAACAACAACAGTAGCATCGTCATTCACATCCACCGTCAGGAGGGTTACGTGAGGAAACTGAGCTACGATGCGATAGGCCTGCATGCCAGACCTTGCGGCGGCTTGTCTGGTGTCGAACCTGCCATTGTAGAGCACAATGCTCTTGTGGTATTCCAGGTTGCGCAGGGAGGAAGAGGTATACGTTTCAAGAGACATAGGGAATCGCTGTTTAGTAAAGAGATAGTGGAAGAGTGGGGCGCTCTCAAGCCCTTTTTATACACTTGGGTTTGTGAAGACAATCCGGAGGCACCGGTTTTTCTTTGTTGATCCGGCACACTGATATCTACTCCATTATGGCCACTGGTGACACGTCACCCAGCAGCTGACCCAGACAGTTTACCAGTGTTCGGCGAAGCATTGAAAGACATCATCCGAAATGCCGAAACGCTGTTCTTTGGGCGAGCCGAGACTATCTGCTGGAAACTGCGGTGCGTAGGCTCTTTGGACCAACACTAGCATGTACAATATCCTGGCTAGCAGCATACACAGCCGGACATGTTCACGAAGACAGAGAAATGAATTGGTACAGGTAAATAAAAAACAATAAAGCCATCTCTAGCCCTTTTAGACGCGCTTAGACAAGATCATCCTGCAGTCGCGGTCTGGGTAAATCGGGGTATTAACAAAGAACGACTTTGAGTCCATCTTCTTCGGACACCCATGCTCGTCCACGATTTCCGGGCCCAGGTACGTCAGATCATCGGGCATCCGGAACTCGTAGTCCTTCAGCATATTTGCCATGATTGTGAACAGCTCGACCCACGACAGGTTGCGGCCTGGACAGGTGCGCGCACCACCACCAAAGGCATAGAAGTTGCGCTTCGACTCGTCGTTGTCCAGGAAGCGCTCTGGAACAAACCGGAATGGATCAGCCCATGTCTTTCGGTTGGTGTGTACGCCGCGGAAGTTCAGGTAGACCTCGGTGCCTGCGGGCAGAAAGTGGCCCTGGATGGTACAGCCGCCTGGGGGCACTACGCGCGGCGCCTGCCCGCCAGCAATCGGACACAGGCGCATGGTCTCGAAGATGCAGGCTTCCAGGTACGGCAGATGGGCCTTGGCCTCATGGTACGTGATCAGGTGGTCGGGAGCGAATTTTTCGCGCACCTCGTTGCAGACGCGCACATAGACAGCTGGATACAGCATAAATAGATGTGTGGTCCACAGCAGCGTATTTGAGGTGGTGTCGGCGCCCGCCGCCATCATCACCATGGACTCGGAGACAATCTGGGTCTCGTCCATGCGCACCTTGGACTCGGGGTCTTCAGCATCCAGGAACGCCTGCAAAAGATCCGCCGGCTTGTCACCGCCCTCAGCCAGGTATGCACGCCGCTTCGCAATGGCTGCCCGACAGAACCGCTCGTACTTGCGGAACGGGCGCTCCAGCGGCGCCAGGAGCTTCGAGAACGGGTAGTATCTGGTGATCGGGATCATCGAGCGCGCTGCCTGGAACTTGATGGAGCATAGCAGCTGCTGCGCCAGCGTGTTGTCGCGGTTCTTGACGCAATTGAAATCCTGGCCGTACACCAGTCCGCCAATAGTATCCATGGTGGCTAGAATGTAGTCTCTGCTGTAGTTAATCTCAATCTCGCCGGTCGGACTGCGCGCGAGCTGCGCGTCCCACGCGTTCTTGAGCGACTTTATACCGCAGCGCAGAATCGTCGGCTCCATTTTCACCAGATATCCGTAGGCAAAGTACGGGCCCAGCTGGCGCTTGCGCACGCTGACGAATTTCGGGTCGCGCCCCGACAGTGTGTTCTGGATGTCAAACAAATCAATGCCGCTGTAGTAGTCGGACTTTAGGAACTTCGAGCCCAGCACCATTTTCCAGTCGGATGGGTTGGAAATCGATACCGCGTTTGGCTTGTATACGTAGATGTCGCCGTATTTGATCGAGTCGCGCTCCCCGCACTTTATCGCGTTGCCTGTGGCGCTGATCACTTCGGCCCGCCGGCTGGTCAGCCGCGCAGTCAGGGCCCAGGGATATTGCGGAGGGGCGAGAGAAACAACGCGTAGAAGAGCTTGTAGCCGAGTGTGGCCACGATGACGGAGATGGTCAGCCTTACTGCGCTCATGTCGCTAGCGCTCTTGAGAAGCGAGAGCACAAACTCGGGATCTTGAAGACGCGACATGGCTATGGGAAAAGAATAGGTTAGGGGCTGTGAAGGCGTGAGGTGTGTGTTTGGCTAGGGCGGTGAGATAAACAGTACGGGGGTCAATAGGATGTGGAATGCGGAAAAATAAACAAGCAGCAGACATAGAAAGACAGCGTGGTGGGAATAAAGCTGGGAAAGCACTGTTTTTTTTAATTCACTCGCCGAAAGCACAGGGTTTTGTTGCGTCCCTGAAAGGAGCCCAGTCTATTTATACCGCCGTTTCCTCTAATCCCACAGCCATGGGATAAGCCAGAAAGAATAAGGCCAGCCCCACATTTACCACAAAGAAAGGAGATAGGTGAGCAAATGGACCCATGCAAAGCTGTCCCTCATTCTGTCGGACGTGCAGCTTCTCGTACATGCAGTTTGGCGAGCATCCTGCCTGCACCCCATATGGAGATGCAGAAACGGCGGGGGAGGGAGGGGGTTTGCCCAAAAAGTACAAAGAGAAAAATCGGTGATAGCGGCTTTCCCCAGGTCGTCCTATCGTACATCCCGTATTCCGTTTATCTCCACCTTGCCCAAATCGAGCAGCAATGAGAACCAGCCAAGCGTCAAGCAAGGGCATACCCTGTCCTGCTGAAGGGCCGACCCATAGGCTGCATGCATATCCTGCAGACCCCGCCTTTGTGCTTTCTTTGTCATTTCCGTCTGCTCTAGCGATTAGCCAGGCCTAAATGATGCGATCCCCGCGAAAACGAAACTGGGTGTGCGAGATAGGTGTCCGAAATATTTGCAGTAGCAATCACAACGAAAGCGCCGTCTGCTCGTTTTCCGTTCTGCGTCCCCACTCAGCAGCAGCGGCCCACTTACCGCTCAACTACCAGCGCGTGAAACTCGAGGAGACTGCAGCAATGAGCGCTTTCTAGTCTCCTTTTTTCTTGCAGCAACCGAAGCAAAGGAGGAAGGAGCCAAGGGAGGCGAATGCAAATCAATAGCCGACGGCCAATCTACAGGCGCTGCTAGTAAACGACGTGAGCGAGGAAATACAAAGGGAAAGTGACTACTGCAGCGAGGATTGCGACAAAAAGGACCTAGAATATGGAGGACGGAACGAGCGCTTAAACAGCAATCCTTCATAAACGAGACCGTTGGGTGGTGACGGTGCAATGCCCGATGCACGATAAAATGACCTAGGTGGTAGATCTCACAGGGATGCTATTTTGGTGTGGTGGAAGGGATATTGGTGATCGCGTTTTATTGGCAGACCTGGGTCTAATGTCGCTGTGGATTGGCGCCAGGCTCGGTAGTGCTATAGAGCGTCGCCATTTATGTTTACGCGGTAATCGCTGCGATACCGCGAGGAGGGGAGGGAGGGCAGACATGCAAGTGGTTCCCACCGATGCTGGCGTGGAAAATGCACGAAGGTGGAATCCCCTCCCCAAACTTATGCACCTGGTCACACGGAAATATAGGTGTATGGAGGGGGCCGGTTTATAAAAGACCGGCCGGATCCGGCGCCTTCCAGCAGCAGCGCAATCCTTTGCAGGCATCCGACGAAGAAGAAATGTTCGAGCCAGATCCTTCCTTCTACTCATACCTCGTATTTCATTCGCACCAGAAGAAACCACCCTGTGTGCATATGGCAGGGTGTCAATACGGAAATCGGAAAATAGACCACACATTGCCCAAAATAGAACAAAATACGCACATTCACATTCGCGCCAACAACAAACGAACCAGTTTTGCTCTAGATCCTCGCGGCATTGAATTCGGTCCGCATCTTCCATGTCCACATTGCCAAGGCCGGCTTGCGGGCCAGCTCTGCACGCTCAACGACCATGTCCTGGGCGGCATCCAGCAGTGCGCGACGCATAGCCCACTCGGGCTCTGCCTCCCAGCGCACCTGGAACTTGTCCATCAGTTTCGGCAGCAGCTCCAGCGGCACTGCGGTCAGCAGCTCCAGCAATACCAGCATCAGCTCCTGTCTCGATACTGTGGCCGTCACGGTGTTCCGCACATGGGCGTCGATTTTCCGCTCCAGCGCCTCCACACGCTCCCACGCCAGCGCATAGCCCAGATTCACCGGCACCGCATCCGCATCCTGCGCCAATACTGGCGCGCTGTGCGCTGTCGCAGCCCGGACCGCCGCCGTATATGCAATCAGCAGAAGCTCGCCAGAAATGCCCCTGCCCGGATACAGCTCCAGCAGCAGATCCGTATACCATGGCACCACCTCCACCACCAGCGCCGCGCGGCGCCATTCCCCCTCGGCTTGGACTGCCGAGTCCTCACTATTCACTGCCTCCAGCACCGCCAGCACCACGGCGTGCGCAGACTCGAACCAGTCAGGGCCAGCGTATCGCAATGCATTGGAGTCGGCGTAGCGCGTCACCAGCGGCAAAACCATGGTCATCAGCGTGTTGTTCGCCAGGCGGCCAACCAGGTGCTCCAGCAAGTCCATGTAGAACAGCACTGTGCAGCTGCGCACCGCGTGGATTCCCCAGACCGGCCGCGCGGCCATATACAGCAAACACGGCTGGCTGTGGAACAGCCGCCGCACCGCCGCATTGGCAACGTGCGGGGGGCGCGCCACAATGAACCCGAGCGCCAGGGAGCTGGCCCGCTTGAACACGTCGACGCCCGAGCGGCCAAACGCCAGCGTCGCAAAATGCACACAGGCCATGGCATCCACCACAGCCACCCACAGATCCACCACCAGCTGCTCGTTTGGGCCAGCGTCGTCGATAAAGTACCGCTGCAGCACCGCCTCCAGCACATGCAGCACTGCCAGAACTGTAGCCGCCAGCAGCTGCAGCTCCGGCGGCTGTGCGTCCTCCGCAAACGCCGGCAGCTTTGCAGCCGCCCGCTCATAGGCCAGCAGTGCGGCTGTGGCATTCGCATGCACCACATGCACAATCCGCGCAGCATCCGGCAGTGCCAATGCCGGGCTGTCGATCAGCACAGTCAACGCCCGCACCACCCCCGCCAATCTCTCGCACCACCACATGCTCCACGCGCTGCCGGCAGAACTCCCGCGACGCAATCCGCTCCATGCCCAGCACTCCGCCCTGCGGATCCAACACCGCCGCAACCATCGCCGCACACTGCCCGGCCAGCATCCGTACATGCCCAGGCGCCATCGCATCCACCACGCCAGTCACCATAATCAGCGCTGCCGTTCCATGCTCCCCGCCAAAGCCCTCGTCGCGGCTGCCCAGCTCCCGGACGACATTCGCCAGCACCACTGCGCATTGCTCAACCAGCGGATCGACTACGTTTTCAGCCTGCATTGCCCGCAGCACGCCTGCCAACAGCGCCAGCGCCGGCAGCCCCGAGCTGCGTTCGGCCACTTTAAATAGAGCCGCTATGGCCTGCCGGTCGGTCTGATCGCTAATTCCGTGGGCCTCGCGCTGCCACGCACCCACAACTAGCCAATGGGCAGCCCGGTCTACGGCGTTGCCCTGCAGACGTGCGCGCTCCTCTGTCGATGCTATGCGGTCGCGATACGCGCGCACGCGCAACGTCGCTATGTACTGGCCCAGGAGCTCCAGCTGCCGCGATGCGGCCAAAAGAGGCATGGCAGTAAGCGGCCAGCGCACCAGCAGGTCCTGCGTCACCTCAGCAATGATGTTTGGCGCCCGGCTGGTTGCCAGAATGCGCGCAATTGAGCGGTACTCTGGGTCCATTGTCTCCGAGGAATTCTGAAGTACAGGGAAGGGTTAAGAAAATATATTGGAGATAAGCCTGGACAGAAGCAGACCCGCCCGAAAAAGCCCAGAGCTAGCAAGACCAAATTTGCGCACAGCACGTGATTGCTTAAAAGATCTTCTTCCACTTTGCCCACCCACCAAACACCACGACAAAGGCAATGCAGCTCCCCATGATTGTCATCCAGGCACGCAGGTTCTCATGCTCGCCAGTATCCTCGTTCGGCTTGAACGGCACAGGCACGTTCATGCCAAATAGGCCGGTGACGAACTGGATTGGCAGCAGAATGGCAGTGATGACTAGCCACTGGCTCGAAAACACCGTCGTGCCCACACAGGCATCGCCGAGCTCCAGCGAGATCTGGCCCATGTAGTTTGAGTGAGCCCGCGCCAGCACCATATCACAATGAGCACAGGCCGACTGCATAGCGCCCAGATGATCCAGGACGTCGCCCAGCAGATGGCGCTCATCTAGGTCGGGCGTCATGCGCATCAGCGCCCGCACCACCTCAGGCTTGCCGTGCATTAGCCGCCAGAGCGCCAGCAGCCGCCGCCGCACCAGCCCCGTGCGCTGCAGAACATCCGCCTTTTCCAGTGGCGACAGAACCATCACCAGCTCGTCCACCTGGTCCACCTCCAATGCCACGGTGCGCATGGCCATGGTCAGCGCGTCCGTCATCCCGTCCAGCAGCACATACACCACCGACTGCCCGCCGATCTCCGCCATGGCTGCCAGCCGGTCCACCGCCTGCTCCACATGCTCGGTCGTTGTGCGCCCATGGAACGTCAGCACAAACCGCCGTTTCACCACCATGGCTATCGGGCATGCCGCCATCTCGGCGTCCACTGCCCGATACACAACGAAGTGGTAGTCACTGACCTCCTCGATCTTGTCGCCTGTGTCCTCCAGAATGTCTTCCACTGTCAGCGGGTGGATTCCGAACACACGTGCCAGCCTGTCCATCTCTGGTTTGGTCGCATCTACCACGTCCAGCCAGAAGAACCCGCTCTGCTCGGCGATCACATCCAAGCAGGGCTTACCCAACTCCGAAGCCTGGTACACGCCCATCGCCTCGCTGAACACCATAAACCGTGTGTCCTCATTGACTGCGAACCCGCCTGCATCTGCCATCGTCTTGAGAGCCTCAGGCTCGCCCACAGCCCCTGTGGCTGCCAGCTCCCGCAGCGCTGCCATATCCCAGTCCCGCCGGTGCACTGCCGCGTCCTCCATGCCCATGCAGTCCGTGTTCTCGTGGGTTGCTGTCTCGCGGACTACACACTCGGTGCTGCCAAGAAGCAGCTGCACCAGCCGCTCAATATCGTCGGCGCTGCTGTTCTTGCTGTCCGACAACAGGTCCTGCAAACAGTGGGTCGCGCGAGCACGCTGCTCGGACTCGGTGCGCAGCATGTGCGTGTTTGCTGCCCGTAGCCTCTGGTTCTCTGTATGGATGTCATGCAATAGCAGCGACGACCCAAACGGCGACGATTTGTCGGTCATGTTAAAAAAAAAAAAAAAAAAGAAGTATATTACAAATGTAAAAGTGGAGGAAGAACAAAAAAAGCTGAAAGATGGACGGCTGGAAGAATCTTCCATTGGGGCATCTATTCCAGCTCCTGACCCGGTTCGCAACCGGCTCCAGTTTTCTGCATCACTTGCGAGTCGCCCGTCTGAGCGACCACTTGGCCACCGCAACCACCATATTTTTGTAGTCCGAGTAGAACAAATCGCCGTCCAGGCCAACCACCGGCCGGATCACAAACCGCCACACCTGCGACGCTGTCAGCCCACCGCCACCACCCTCCACTAGTCCCCGGTGCTCCTCCTGCTCCCGCACCGGCACCTGCCCAGCCTCCCCCCACGCGACCGCCTGCACCGGGCACGTCTCAGCAAACTGCATCATCAGCGCAATCAGCTGCTGCCGCCCCGCATCGTACTGCAGCAACTCGTAATGCAGCCAGCCCAGGTTCCGCCAAACCGCTGCCGCCGCCATCCCGCCCTGCTGCAATGCCTCCCGCAATACATCCAGCCGCTCGCGGTCCAGTGACAGCGTCCCCAGCGCCCGCCGCATGCTACGCACAGTCACAGCCAATAATGCCGTGTCCACTTTGCCAGTCGTGGTCGATGCGTTTCCAAGCGCCACGGGCGCATATGGGTTGGAATATGGCGCCAGATGCGCTCCGGCAGGCTGGTACGCCAATGACACAATGCTGTTGGGCGATTGCGCTCCGCTGCTCACCGAATTCAGGGATGCATGTCGCCGCAGCGCCGCTTCTGCAAAGCCACTGTCGTCCGAGACCACAGAGACTGTCAGTGGCAGCGGAACCTCCAGGGCGCTGGCAGCCGTGTTGTTTCTCGCTAGCGGCACTGACGGCGGCAGAAGCTCAGCCAGCGGCGGTGGTGACGACACGCGCACTGGCACAGCAGAGACCAGCGACGCCCGCCGCGAATGTCGCCGCTGTGAAATGCTTTTGCCTCTCATTGGTGTCTCCTCAGCGGTAGTGTAGTGCATGCCGCGCAGTACCGGGTCCTGTGGCATCGTCGGCTCAGGAGCCATCAGACCAGTGAGCCGCACGAAGCGCCCTGGCACTCCATCCACGTACCCCTGCACCTCATCCGCCGCAAGTGCCCCGTCACCATCACGTCGTGCTGTGGTGCCGCCGGTCGGCAGCGGCAGGTCGAGCAGGTACCGTGTGCTGGCCATGACCGCTGAGCTGTGGTCAGCATATCGCACAGCCACCTGGTCAAACCACGTCTCCACCACTGGCGTATCAGGGCTATGGACCATCGCCGCATTATCCGACAATGACGCCGGGCTGTCGCGGTCCAGGTCGCTGTACGGAATTGCCGTGCCCGGGATATTGCCGTCGCTGAGCCGCGTGCGCATTGCGCGCTGCTGCTCTGTGAGCCGTCGGTTCAGCTCATCGGTGCCCGCCTCCGGCTGGTGCGGCAGCTCCATCGACAGGCGGCTCTGATCGGCTGCCCGCCGATGCGCATCCACCGCGTCTGCCTTCAACCGGTCGAGCTTAGCCGACGAGTGGGCCGTGTATTTTCCGTCTTTTAGCGTATATGACACCGACCCCTTGGACCCTGTGACCGCCTTGGCCACACTGCCAATCGCCTTAGCGCGCTTGAGCTCCTGCGGCGGCTGCAGATTTGGATTGAACACGACCGGGCTGTGGATATTGGCGCCGGTCGCTGCTGCCACCTGCATGCGCAGCCGCCGCCGCAGCCGCACCCACCGCCGCCGCCGCACAAACGACTTGGCCGCCGAGTGCCGCCCGCGCCAACGCGACTTGGTCGCAAACCGCGTCGCGTACTGCCATCCATCCTCGTCCACATCTGCCGTCATATCAATCAGCCAGCGCGGCGACACCCACTCCCACGATGGGTCTGGCAGCTGGTACGAATGCACGTTCGCCAGCGTCAGCTTCATCGTCACGTCGCTCCACGGCGGTGGATCCATCGGATGCAGCCTATGGTAAGAAGGAAAAACGTGCGATTATGCAAACCATCTCTCATATGACCCGTGTGCACATACGTCTCTCACACTTGCTGCTCCCTCGCCCACCCAATGCTGCGGCTGCGCTGGCCATGGGACACGGCCATATGCTGAAAATTCTGCCTACTAATGCATGCAATTACCCCCTCCCAAAGCAAAACGCGCGTTTCATGTGTCTTCACATTGGCTTCGCACTGGTACTTACAGCTTCGGGCTAAAATTCGCCTTGCCGAGAAAATTGAACCTACAATGCGCAGCACCAGTATTTAGCCTGCCATGGTTCCTCCATGCCCACGAGATAACTCATCCATGGATAGCCTACCCGCGCTGGCACTCAAACACCACATCGCACGCATACTCGAACCGCGCATCATCCACCAATCGCTTCGCCTCGCTCAGCCTAGCGCAGATCGCCCGCGAATGCAGCTTCGCCATCCGCTCCCGGTCCTCCCCACTGCTCGTCTGCCGCCGCACCACCCGCACACACGGCGCCTCGCCGTCGTCATCCGAGCCACCCTCCCCCATAGCCCACCCTTGCCCGCCATACACGCCCTCGCTACTGCCCGAGTCCTGCCGCTGTGCTCGCGCAGCCCCTGATGCTGTGTATGGCCGGTATGCAAACGCACAGGCCGACGGAGGCACCGGTGGGAGAATATCCTACATGCATTGGAGCCTTGCTGCGTAGTTGAGAAACCAAAGTGCTCGAACCTCCTAACCCGACTGGACAACACTGCTGGGGGTTCTGGGGCTGCCACTGCTTGACAAAAAATAAACGCACCTCAGTTATTTCTTTTCGCCGTGTCATTTCCAAATAGTGTGGAGGCCCAAAAACAGTCTAGGAAAGGAAGGGAAATGCGAGCAGCAGAGGAGAAATAGTGGCAGAGCAGCGTGCAATGCATGGAAAGCTCCAAATATTTTTGTGTGTGACGGAGAGGAGGCACTCTGATTGTCGGCGACACACAACCAGCGCCCAGAGTCACGCGCATCAAGCGCTCTCCCCGCCGCCAGCACTGATCAGCCTTTTGCTCAATGCAGACGAGTGCCCACAAGCATGGATCCAGCCCTAACCACATCCCCGGTATTCTCCATTCATACCCGCTCTGACGGAAGAAAGAAAAGACTACACTTGCTGCCAACCGCCACCGACACTACAGCATCTTGGACATGTATGGCCCGTCCAGCTCAAAGCCTAGCTTGCGGTAGTAGTGGCGCGTGCCCACGCCGCTGATGACCGCTAGCTTCACCGACCCATGCTCCTCGCGCGCAATGCGCTCGGCCTCCTCCATCAGCAGCGTGCCGAATCCCTGGTGCTGGAACTTCGTCGGGTCGCGTGAATGAACCGGCACCACCGAGCCATACACGTGCAGCTCGCGCACAATCGAGCACTGCCCCGTCAGCAGCTCCGGCCGGAACGTCTCAGCCGAGCACTTGCGCAGCCGCAGCAGCCCCACAAGAATGTCCTGGTCGGGGTCCTCGTACGCCAGGAACGTCTCCCAGCCGCCGTTCGCCACATAGTCGCGCCTGACCAGCTCGACCTGGTCCGGCTTGACCTTGGTGTGGATATCCACAATGCCCACCTCGCGCGTGCGCACGTCGCGGCAGGCCGTGCCCAGATCACGCATGCGCTGCAGCGCCAGCTCGCGCAGATTGCCATGCTCCACGCCCGACGTCACCAGGGGCATCGGGATGTCGCGCTGCACACGATACACGCGCGTCCATGGCGGAACCAGCGCCAGAATCCGTGCTACCAGGTCAACCAGCGCGTTCGGCGTGTAGTTGCGGTAGCGCCCGGTGCGCCACAGCTCATACAGACCCGTGCCGCGGATCACCAGCGTCGGGTAGAGCTTCAGCCCGTCCGAGCGGAACTGCGGGTTCTCAAAATACTCCTTGAACTGCTCCAGGTCGCGCTCCATGCCTACGTTCGGTAGATCTGGCATCATATGCGCCACCACCTTGTATCCGGCGTCCTTGGCCAGCTGGAACGACTCGCACACGGCTCGAACCGTGTGCCCACGGTTTGTGTCGCGCGCCACGTCCTCGTATACCGATTGCACCCCTAGCTCGAGACGCGTGCACCCATACCGCAGCATGTGGCTCAGGTGCGGCTTCAGCGCTGCATCTGGCCGCGTCTCGATCGTGATGCCAATGCACTTCGTCTGGCTCTGCTCCGACATCCGCACTGCCTCGTCCACGTCGTTGCTGCGATGGCCCGACAGTGCATCATGCAGGTTCATGATGAACCAGTTGCGGTACTCCTCCGGCAGCGACATGAACGTACCTCCCATGATGATGTACTCCACCTTGTCCACGCTGTGTCCCAGCGACCGCAGCTGGTCGATCCGCCCGCGCGCCTGCTCAAACGGCTCGTACCGTGCCCGGATTGCCCGCATGCTAGTCGGCTCGTAGCCTGTATACGACTGCGTTGAGTACTCAAAGTCTGAGTCCGGCCCGCCTGGGCAGTACACGCAAATCTGCCCCGACATCGAGATGTGCGGGCACCGGTGCGGCTTACACATCACTGCCACCACCGCAATGCCTGACGCCGTGCGGATCGGCTTCGCCTTGAGCTTCGGCAGCAGGTACTTCTTGTACTGCTCTGGAATTGCCGCGATGATGTCCACCAGCCGCGGCTGTGCCGACAACTTGTTCTCGCGAGAGTGCCTCGACTTGACTACATTCAGGTTCACCGACACCCCGGCATTGTGCGCTTCAATCAGCTCTGCCACAATACCCGCACACGTCTTCACCATTTTCTCGGCATGCGACGCCTGCGCTTTCTTGGACGTGCTCATTTTTTGTACAAGTTTGTTTTGTGTGGGAATGGAGGTGCAGAGGAGAAGCTATAAAAAAATTTGGCATCAATTTTTTCTGTTTGCTCTGATGCATTTTTGGGCTCGATGGACGGGCTTTGTGATTGGCTGGCTCGGTTTTGCTCATCGCACCCATCTTGCGACGAGGTAGACACGCCTGCACATGGTATTCAGAAGCACGCATTTCTCCTTTTGCAAGCTTACCTACCCTCCGCTCTCCCTTTTATACTCTAATCATAGACTCTTGTGACCGATGCAAGGCAACTTTTCTCCACAGGCGAAGCTGCACCGCGGCCACCGGAACTACCCTTCTCACAACGCCCAGTCCACCCGCAACCCCCCGCCACGAACCAATCAGAATTACGCCAATCCAACACAACAACACCCCCAGCACCAGCGCACCACCGGCGGCATGTTTGGCAAACTACGCATGTTCGTCGAGAACGTCGCCGATGCCTTTGACAACCCCTCGCCCACCCGCCGCGACATGCTGGTGGACCACTGGTCGCGCATTCAAGAGTACTATACTCCGCAGAACCAAGACGACCTGCGCAAGCTGGAGGTCACCGATACCACAATCCCCTACCACCTGGAATCTGCCCTGCGCCTGCTGGCCCTGGAGATGCTCGAGACCGCCGACCACGAAGCCGACGGCATCGCAAAGGAACACCTGGCCCAGCCGCTTGAGTTCGGCCCCTGCATCGAGTACCTCTTGCAGTACCATGTGCTGAACTCGCTGGTGGAGTTTGCCGACGCCGATTTGCCCAGAGGCATGCGCAAGAACGTCCTTCACTTCTTTGGCATCTTTATCGAATGCATTCCCCTGGGCCTGCTGCCAGAGAGCGCCATCCGGCTGCCGCTGGTCGAGATCATGCGCCAATGCCTGAATGTCGTACAGACCAGCCCCACCACGCTCATCAACCCCATGCGCCGCCAGGAGCCCATGGCCGGGTCCTCAACCACAGCCGTCGGCAGCGTCTACTCGTCCATCGGCCGCAAGCAAGGCAAGCAGAGCTCAGCCACCACTAATCGGCTCGGCCAAGGATACCACTGCATCCCGAATGACAAGACCGCTGTCATTCTCTGCCACGACCTGCTCAAGCTCGTGGTCTCGCTGTTCACACGCCTGCGCGAACACTCCAACATGGTCTATCTGTTTTTCGACTGGGGCAGCGAATGGCAGACCACAGCAAAATCCGCCGATCTGGCTGTCGCCTCGCTGCGCACTGCCACCTCCGACTACAAGCAGCAGTCGGCCCGTGGCCACGAAATGCTGATCATGCACGTCATCGTCGAGTACCTGTTGGCACCCGGCATGACCGGCCAGCTAGCACGCGAAGCACTGGTCCTGGTCGTCCAAGTCCTGCTGGCCCCTAAGGACAAAGACAAGTATGTTGATTTCCTGCTTGACCGTGCACGCATCGCCGAGCTGCTGGTTGAGCACCTCGGATATCTGCACTCGCAAATGCCCGTGTACCGCCCAATCCCACGCACCCCCAACTCGCAGCTCTTCAGGAATGACTATACCGGCGGACGCACCATGCCGCCGCTGACACGGAGAATGCATCCCGAGAGCGCCAGCCTGGCTGGCCGCTTCAATTTCAAGGCGAACCTGCGTGACTTGCTCGCCAATGAGGGCATCATTCGGTCTGTGGCGAAGCGCGAGCAGCGCGAGTCGGATATTCTGGTGTCGGCGCGCAAGATCCTCGAACACGTCGATGCCTTTTTCCTGTGCTGGGAGCTGCTCGACGAGCTCTGTGTTGTTGGCCAGTGCGATTCACGGATCGTTGCTGCTGTCCAGAGCCAACTATCTAACGGATTCCTGCGCACCCACATAGAGCCCGCCCTACTGGCTACCATGGCATCCATGAGCCAAGCCAACACGACCATATCGTATTTGACTGACCTGATCACCATTACACACAGCTCTCACGTCCTCGATGCATTATTCATGGTCCTGCTCGGGTCGGACCTGGCGCCCGAGCGCGCACCGCAGGACCGGCCCAAGAATATGCACCTACTGTCAAAGGAGGACCAGGAGCTGCTGGATTCAATCGAGGATGAGGCGCTACGTGCTGAAGCAGCAGCCCTGTTATTGCCGCCCGGCTTTGACCTGTCTACTCTAGGCACCACGAAGAGCGACGACAAATCATCAGGCTCCGAGCCCAACCCACTGCGCGCAACTCTGATCTCGTGGATGACTTACACCGACAACACCCACCTGTCCCTCAACACCCTGCGCCTGTTCGACACCATCCTGTCAACGATGAACCAATTCGCCTACACTAGCCTCGCCCTGCGCAACTTTTTGGACGAACCTGCTGGCAATAGCCACGCTGGCACGCAAATGTCGCCGCTGGTCGGAGCCGCCCTGCCAGCTGCTTCGGCGGCCGACGGTGGTGATGACGATGACGAGAAGCCCTTGGCCAATTTGGTCCAGCCACAGGGCGATGCGCTTGGAGAGTTTTATTCTGGCCCGGCAATCGGCCTCGGCATGTCAGTGGCAGTGGACCAGGAGCTTGTGCGCGCCGTGGTCGAGCGCTTCCTGGACGCCAGCCCCAGCAACATCTCCAATGCAATGCCCGAGGTGGTCGTTTCGGCTGCCATTCGCATCGACGAGCGTCCGAGCCCCACTAACTCGCAGTCGCCGCGGTCACCGCAGGACAGCCAGTCGCTGCCTGTGCTGGATCAGCAGCTTGAGGCGCCCCGCAATTTCCAAAACATGCGCAGCATTATTATGCGCGAAGCACAGGGATGCGACGAGTACGTCCAGGACTGCCTGCAGCGGCTGCGCGTCAATCAGGAGTATATCCGGAAGTGCTGGCAGAGCAAAGCCAGGTTTGTTCGCAAGCATGCGCCTGCCCATCACACTCAGTCTACATCGGACAGCACAACTGGCAACACCGAGGATGTGAGCCGCCAGATTGACGACTCGCTCGCAGCGTTCTATCCGGGAGGTTTCTTGGCGTCGCTAGTCAAGCAGTTCTCGCTGGTCGTCAAGCGCCATATGGCGTATAGCCTGATGCTGACATCGATGATCAACAAGCTTGCTTGCATTGCCGACCCAGCTCTGTGCGCATATTTGTTCTTGGCAAACAGTGCCACGCTACCAAAAACGCAGGTAACTGGCGATGCCTCAGAGGAGACGGAGAGCAAGCCGATTAAGCCGATGCTGCTGTATGATGGTTTTGTCAGTGCTGCAGCCGACGCTTACGTGAAATCAGAACGGGTGCCCAAATTCTCTGCTCGCCTGGCCCGCCAGCACCGCGAGGGTGTCGAGACCGCCGTGCGGGTCGGCGCTGCGCAGCGACGTGATGTTGAGAAGGCCGTTCAGGCAATGCGCGCAAATGAGCAGCAACAGCAGCAGGCTGGGTCATTAACCAAGGCAAAGGTAGTTAATGCTCTGTCCGATGCCAAAATTACTACTGGGCGCAGCTACGCAACAGCTGCCGCAGCTACACCGAAACCACAAACTAGCCAGGACCAGGTGACCAAAACCCAGTCTGCTACCGACGACCAAGACGATACCCCTCTGGCATTGCTCCCGTCGTCCACCAGCAGAAACGCCAACACCGGAAGCACTGAGGTCGACGAATCTTTGAGCGGCTTGCAGATCTCGAACGTGCCGCTGGACTCGACAAAGCCGTCGGATAGCGTGGCGAAGCAGCGCGGGCCAGCAACACTGAAGCAGGTGGTTGCACTACTAGGTACGCCGATCAGACGGTTTGTCCATGGATACATTGTCTTGGACGAGTTTGGCAAGGAGATGGCAGCAACAGCGCTGGCCCTGCACACACTGGAGCTCGATCGGGCCATGGATCGTGTCATGCGCGCCAATGCACTGGGAAGCGCCTTCCTGGGCGACGTGAACCAAGAGGAATATGCCGACCTCCTAGACTACTATGATCCGGAAGAACCTGCGTACCGCCGCGCGGAGGCAGTCAAGGAGTCACTGCGTATTGGCAGCAGCGTAATCGACCTTAGCTCCGGACGCAACCACCCTCACCACGACCGCAAGTCGCTTGGTATTATAGAGCCCTCCTCACCGACCAAGGTGCGCAAGGACCGGCGACGCGGATCGGTCAGTGGTAAGTCTGGGCGCAACAGATCGTTGTCAAGCACAAGCGGGCACACCAGTACTCTGCTGGTTGCGCTGGAAGAGGCTGCAGTTTCGGCTCAGAACCAACAGAAGCAGCCCACTGATGATGGCAACGACGGCTCTGAAGGCGCTAGTAATATCGGCCTGGCTAAAAAGCGTAGCAGTAGCCGCCGGCGCAGCCGGCGCAAGTCAACACGCAGCGCCCAGCAGCTGCAGCAGATGCTAGCAGCCGATGGATCGCAGCCTGCAGGGTCTGGCGGCAACGTAAAGCGCAAAGGATCATCATCATCACGGCGCAAGCCTCAAGGTGCTGCGGTCTCACAATAGCAAGTCAACTTGAGTGGCAGGTTGTTTTAATAGATGCTAGTATTCACGTACATGCTGCCTCCTACATGCATATCTATATCCTGCTGATGCACCAACTACGAACATTGCTGTGGAGGTCATTCACAATCACTAAACTAGGTAAAAAAAATAGTTATATCTTTTAAAACTTTTTATTCTTTTATTTTTTTTGTGCTTCTATGAAACCCCCATCGGTATCCTGAAAAATTTTAGTTGATACACAATTAATATGCTTCTACTGAGATAGAGGCTGGGTCACAAGAAATCAACTGAAATTTTTCAGGATGCCAATGGGGGTTTCATAGAAGTGCCCTTTCTTGTATTTTTGTTTATTAGTTAATCTAGCAGCTAATATCTTTCTAACCATTACTAAATATTCTGTTTTTTAAAATATTTTTCAGCTGCTAGTAATTGATTTATAATTTGTTAATTGGAGGTCATTCAGAGCTAGTTATCTACACAACAACTATTTATACATATTGAAACTATTGGCAATTTCAGTGAAATAAAAATTTCACCTAAACTGCCATCAGCATCTTGGAAAAGTTTCAGTGAACATAATTTCAACCAGAAAGAAAAAACTTTGCATATTTGGGGTTAATTATCATTGGGCAACAAAAGTCAATATCTCAATAGATGTGGCTAAGCAACCACAAGGAAATTATGTTCACTGAAACTTTTCCAAGATGCCGATGGCAGTTTGGGTGAAATGGCAAAAAAAATATTTGTATTTTTAAAATCAATTATACACATAAAAACATTCTGGACACAACAATTATAAATATCTGTTCCAAAAATATCTAGTAGTAAAAAATGGTTCTGAAAATGATTATTCAAATATCTATCTAACAAAATTGTAATTTACTAATATTTACAAGTCCAGGAATGACCCCCATTAGTTATTCTAATATAAGATATTAAGTTTCTTTAAACTTTCTTATTTGTGAATGGCCTCCCTTATCCACTCCTCAAAGTAATTCCCTACTCTTTGACTTCATATACATAAGCTTCACTATAGTATCTAGGTCTGGTATCAGCTGCTTCTTCATCTTTTAGTATATAAGCTAGATCCTCTCCTTATCTGTCATCTTCTCACTATCTACATATTTATTAATAGGCACCAGATAATTAGATACTCCTTTCCCATCAAACTTCCTCACCACTCAGCCATCCTAGACTTTAAGCAACTCACATAATCAGTTGCCATCTATATTACCTTATGCCTTTCTTCTATCAGTGCCCATCATAGCCTATGAAATATAATTAATTAAAATGATTTATGCTGAAAAGGTGTAAAAAGTTGATGATATTTTTAAACAATTGCACTATCTGAAGTGGCTATAAAATAGCCACTTCAAAAGAGTGTCATAGAAGCATTGAACTAGAGAAAAAGGAGAAAGAAGATCTTAGTAGATAGGAGTCTACTTGTCATGACATGTATGAAGAATTATAGAAGCAGGTACTAGCATTTGACAATATTTCCTGATCTGGAGTGAGGAATATGTCGATCATGTAACATCAGTAGAGAAACTAGTTTTCGACACCACACATGCCTAAAAGGACCTTGGTCAAATATCAGGGAAGAGGGTGCTAAGTAGCATGTTCTCCTAGTGATTACTATAAGGGTGCTAATGAAACTAAATGTAAGCATTTACTAAAATATATTAGAGAAACTAGGCAGAGTCCTTGCTGCTAGGAGCCAGCAAGGGGTATTTAAGCATGTGCCGGGTGCACATACTGAGCCCTCATCTAAACTGCGCATGGCCCTAGAAAAGGCCGCACTACTCTGAGTGAATAAGCCGCCTTAGGTGAGTCAAAACTACCCTAGCAGCATGATATAATATGTATATATTTCAAATAAACACTATATAATAATTAGAGTGGCCAGCCAGTAGATAGATCAGTAGGCAAATCTATGTAGCAGTAGAAAAATGTATTGATAGTGTGAGTGGAAAAGTAGTTGAGTTCATAATCAAATGTAGAAAGCTGATGATTGCCAATGGGCAATTGCATACTCGCTTATAAAGGAACAGCTGAGTGCAACCTCGGCAGCGAATAAGCCTGCTAGTGATCTGCAAACTGCAGTTGCGTTTCGTGATGTGACAGTGAGCGCGTCACAGCTCAGACGGGCGATTTACAAGTGATAGCGAAGCAAAAACCGGTTGTAAAACAAGTCAGGGGCCGGGATAGATGCCCCAACAGAGGAATATTCTATTTTTCCATCTTTCAGCTTTTTTTGTTCTTCCTCCACTTTTACATTTGTAATATACTTCTTTTTTTTTTTAACATGACCGACAAATCGTCGCCGTTTGGGTCGTCGCTGCTATTGCATGACATCCATACAGAGAACCAGAGGCTACGGGCAGCAAACACGCAAATGCTGCGCACTGAGTCCGAGCAGCGTGCTCGCGCGATCCAGTGTTTGCAGGACCTGTTGTCGGACAGCAAGAACAGCAGCGCCGACGATATTGAGCGGCTGGTGCAGCTGCTTCTTGGCAGCACCGAGTGTGTAGTCCGCGAGACAGCAACCCACGAGAACACGGACTGCATGGGCATGGAGGACGCGGCAGTGCACCGGCGGGACTGGGATATGGCAGCGCTGCGGGAGCTGGCAGCCACAGGGGCTGTGGGCGAGCCTGAGGCTCTCAAGACGATGGCAGATGCAGGCGGGTTCGCAGTCAATGAGGACACACGGTTTATGGTGTTCAGCGAGGCGATGGGCGTGTACCAGGCTTCGGAGTTGGATAAGCCCTGCTTGGATGTGATCGCTGAGCAGAGCGGGTTCTTCTGGCTGGACGTGGTAGATGCGACCAAACCAGAGATGGACAGGCTGGCACGTGTGTTCGGAATCCACCCGCTGACAGTGGAAGACATTCTGGAGGACACAGGCGACAAGATCGAGGAGGTCAGTGACTACCACTTCGTTGTGTATCGGGCAGTGGACACCGAGATGGCGGCATGCCCGATAGCCATGGTGGTGAAACGGCGGTTTGTGCTGACGTTCCATGGGCGCACAACGACCGAGCATGTGGAGCAGGCGGTGGACCGGCTGGCAGCCATGGCGGAGATCGGCTGGCAGTCGGTGGTGTATGTGCTGCTGGACGGGATGACGGACGCGCTGACCATGGCCATGCGCACCGTGGCATTGGAGGTGGACCAGGTGGACGAGCTGGTGATGGTTCTGTCGCCACTGGAAAAGGCGGATGTTCTGCAGCGCACGGGGCTGGTGCGGCGGCGGCTGCTGGCGCTCTGGCGGCTAATGCACGGCAAGCCTGAGGTGGTGCGGGCGCTGATGCGCATGACGCCCGACCTAGATGAGCGCCATCTGCTGGGCGACGTCCTGGATCATCTGGGCGCTATGCAGTCGGCCTGTGCTCATTGTGATATGGTGCTGGCGCGGGCTCACTCAAACTACATGGGCCAGATCTCGCTGGAGCTCGGCGATGCGAGTGTAGGCCTGTCCGTGTTTTCGAACCAGTTGCTAATCATTTCTGCCATTTTGCTGCCAACTCAGTTTGTCGCCGAGCTGTTTGGCATGAACGTGCCTGTGCCGTTCAAGCCGAACGAGGATACTGGCGAGCATGAGAACCTGCGTGCCTGGATGACAATCATGGGGAGCTGCATTGCCTTTGTCGTGGTGTTTGGTGGGTGGGCAAAGTGGAAGAAGATCTTTTAAGCAATCACGTGAAATAAGTGAATTATTTGTTATTTTCAATCTCTTTGAAGAAATTCTAATACACTGAGCGGCAAAATTGAGTCACAAAAATAAAAATCATCAAAAATCTTAGATAATTTCTCTGAACGACGTTCATTGAATATGATAAAATTAAATCATGGTGTATGCCATGCACTAATCTATTTCATGTAGTTGCGTGCTTATTGCACTTGAAATAAGCGAGAAACTGACATTTTAAAAATAAAAATATTTGACTCAATTTTGCTTACAAAATTCGTCGATTTTTTTCTCACTAACTAGCAAAGCCACCATAGGTTTTTTTGACTGCAGCGATACGCACAGGCATCGAGTTCACTAGCCATGAATAAGCGATTTCATTTACTTACCTATTTATAATTTCCTAGACCAATAAATCATTGGTGACAAAAACGATGATTTCAGGCCATTATCAGATCATACTCATAATGAAGCCCTATAGGTGAGTAGCGCATCGTATCTAGGGGACTACACTGATCATCATACAGTAGAAACAGTACACATATCTAGCCAACTTGTAGCCCAAATTGCCATTTATATGATGATGACTCCTTCAGACATAATCTTTGCACTCTCCTATTGCATATCATAGGTATGTAATCATGGTATGCTTTATATAATTACATACACACTGGTCAGTGTGCCACATCCCCCTCAACTAGGGAAGCAATAGCCATAGCTGTATAGAGATACACTACTCTAAACTCAGAATCTACTTTTCTGATTTTCTTAGAATCTAGATTTCTTCTTAATGTTGGCAGAATAGAGCACTTTCATTAGGATATTTCATTCCCATAGTCACCTGTGGGGCATGTGCTTTGTATAGTAAGTATATTTGATTTGATCTGATGTGTTTTTGATCATAAGGAGCTGCTTAAAGAAGGATTAAGAAAGTTGCAAAATTTGTGATTCAGATTAAATGGCTTATCATTAGGCACAGAGGTTACATATTGATATATCATAGTATTGAGTGGATAGCCACAGTAGTACCCTCTCTACCTATCTATGGAGGTCATTCAGAGATAGTTATCTGCACAACAACTATTTATACATATTGAAACTATTGGCAATTTCAGTGAAATAAAAATTTCACCCAAACTGCCATCAGCATCTTGGAAAAGTTTCAGCGAACATAATTTCAACCAGAAAGAAAAACTTTGCATATTTGGGGTTAATTATCATTGGGCAACAAAAGTCAATATCTCAATAGATGTGGCTAAGCAACCACAAGGAAATTATGTTCACTGAAACTTTTCCAAGATGCCGATAGCGGTTTGGGTGAAATGGTAAAAAAAATATTTGTATTTTTAAAATCAATTATACACATAAGAACATTCTGTACACAACAATTATAAATATCTGTTCTAAAAATATCTAGTAGCAAT